CAGCATAGCGAATAGGCACGGGTAAGCACAAAATCTCAAAGTCGAATTTTTGCCCGGAAACTGCTTTCATTTGCTTAGATTTAAAGACATTGTGAGCCATGCTTTTTTTCAGTTAGTGTCTTCCAGGTATAGCAAGGCCCTGTCAGCTGGAGATAAAACTGCAGCAGAACGCATTATGTCAGAACGAGATCCGAAGAAGATGAAGCGGATTGGTATGGAGGTTGTTGGGTTTGATAGAGATTTGTGAGTGTTTCAATTTGGCTTTTTGCTTACGATATTCTTTTCCCATCCTTAATCCACCTTTGTGATACATGTAGTCAATTACTGTTTTTATGTGGGACTCTATGAGCTCGGCTGTGATGACCACCGCACTCGAAGCTAAATTTACGCAAGACTCTCGACTTCGACATATGCTGTTCTTGACGCACGGTTCGCGCCTTGTGGAATGTTCACCATTCGATTCCATTTGGGGCATAGGTGAGTCATTATTCCACGCAGTCTCACTCATCCCAAATATCACTCTGATTATCATTGCAGTCAAAGGAACAGTCACTTGATTTTTTGAGCAATTCGCGTTTTCCTAGATAAATTGTTATTTCTAGGCTCTCTTTATGCAATTACTGGCATGTAAACTCCGTTGTATAAATGCAGAATCTTCTGTCCGCGTATGGTAAGCTCAGGTCTCTCGATCGACAGTCCCGATGCTGTGAATCCTTCTAAATGGCGCGGAAAAAATCGCCTCGGCAACCTTATGGACGCCGTGCGTGAAAAGTTGTGGGCTAATGAAGAGTACAGGTTCGTTATAATAACGAGATTCAATAGTTTTTCTTCCACTCATATGAGCGACTATCATCACTGCTAATTTGACATCTTGCTTTCTTTTAGAGCCCAACGTGAGGAGGTTGAATCACAGATGAGCTTGTTTCCTGGCTACGCTGATCTCTACTTTTCTTCAAACATTACCAGGTATGTTAGAGTTTTTATATACAGGGTTTTTGAATTAATGTATCGAACTGTTCTTCAAAACTCTCCTGTCACAGAGTCTTTCGAAAAGCTTTGTGTACCATTTTGTAGAACTGACTTGAACTTAGATTATCAGTATGGCGCCAATCACTGATCGCTTTTCATTACTGCAGTATTGGTGTATGAACTTCTGGCATGTAGCCTCACGGTGAAAAAGCTGTCGTTCTGAAAAATCTCCAAAAAAATCTGAAAACTTGTGTAGAAGGGTAATCATGGGCGACAAGTTCAGCAATCAACTTTGTACACGATTGTGAAGCTTTTTGAACGGTGTAACACATTTTCTAGCAACATCGAAAACAGCACTGTTTTACGTGCCGTAATTTTTTGAGGTAGCATTATAGGATGCAAACTTTATATTTGATATCAAAATCGCTAATTAGCCTAGTGCGAGAGTTTTCGGAACGTTTTGCTATCTTTCTGAGCTATAATAAGACCCTCCAATATGGCCTAAAACTCTTCAAAGTTTCTACCGTAAATCCTACGCTAGTGAAGAGAGATCGATGATTCGCGTCATATTTTGAGTCTGAGTTGAAGCCAGCTCTACGTAATAGTACCTGCTTTTCGAAAGACTCTGTGACAAGAGAGTTAAACGATCA